TACAAGAGAGCAACACATACAAAAAAGAAGGAGGGGAGATAAAAACGATAGATGTTTGATAGGAAAGAAGAAGCAAACCACACCAGAGCACCCGCCAACCACCCACTGACTGTTTCACTACAGCAGTCACAAATATCTCATCTGTCCCCGTCGTTTTATGAAAGAGAAATTCTGAAATTATGCAAACTGAGCCCAAAAATGTAAATAAAATTATACGATTCTGTCAATTTTAATAAAAAATGATAAAGGAAAATAATCAGAAATTATGCAAAAAATGATCAAATTTTGCTAAATTATGCGAGGTGCATAAAACCACGGGGACAGAATATAGAGTGAATTGACAGAGAATATTTAGTAGAGACCAGATAAGTCATCACAAGTCATCATAAGTGGTTTCACATGTTTTATAAATATCAGTATATTATCAGCATGGTGTACATTATTCTTTTACAAAACAGCATAGTATTTTATCAAATGTTTTAGTTGAGTTGACATAACTTTGTACAAAAGTTTCAAGTATACATGACATGGTAGATCATAATAATAACATAATGTATTGAAAGTTCTCTTCTTTCGCTCCAAAATTGGGGTATAGAGGCAAAGTAAATTCTGACATGGCTCTGTCAAAAAATACACTTTGTACATTCTCTTTTTGTTGTTTGTTTTAGTAGAGGTTTTACGGCACTCGCAACTGCATAAGGTCATATGAGCGCCAGAAGATTAGAGGTGTTACAAGAGAGTAACAAACATAAAAAAGAAGAAGGGGAGATAAGGACGATAGATGTTTGATAGGAAAAAAGAAGCAAGCCACATCAGAGCACCCGCCAACCACCCACACATTCTCTTTTTGGCGTCAGTAATATTGAATAAGTCTACAAAGTAAAGACAGACTTAGAAGTTATAACTTTCACCAGCCAAAACATTTTTAAAAACATTTTCTTTCCAAAATTCACAAAATATTAAAAACTACTGGTATCTCATGTAAATTTTAAGTAAAATTCGCTACAACATGTTTTCCACACTGCCCGTCAGAGCGTGTCTGGGCTCAGACGTAGCGTAGAGGGACACAATAGTCTGGCAGACAAAAAGAACAATTTTTTAAACAGAGATACCAGGTTAAGAAAATCCCCCCCCCCCCCCCCATTAAAAACAAAACAACCTTCATCATCATCATCAATGCCTTTCACCCCTGGCAGGGTATAGGCCACATACAAGCTCCTTCCATTTATCTCTGTCCTGAGCCATCCTTCCAAGCTCATTCCAAGTGAGCTTCATTTCTCTCATGTCCCTTTCTACGGATCTCCTCCATGCAGTCTCGGCATTGAGAAGAATAGGACTGACGTGGTGCTAGCGTGTCGTACGAGGCGACTAAATGGCGAACCAGGTAGTGACTCCTGAAACAGAGTCATCCTACCTCCAGGTCGGGGGTTGAGTCATGAGGCTAACAACCTCTCTCGTAAAAAGAACCGGTTACAGAAACACATACAAGCAAAACAACCTTGCTGGCTGGAAAATCAAACTCAGGACTTGAGTGTTCAACAACACCAACCAAAGAGCCTGACCATTCGACCACAGACCTCTGTTCAAAGTTCCCAGGAACTTAAGGTTGTTTCAGAATGCTCTCGGTGTACGGATCGGATTAATGAATAAATTTCCTCTTTGGAAAGTGGGGGCTCAGAATTCCCCTCGTCGTATGGATATGATAGTAAAACACGACGTACGGATAGAGGGTTAGTTAAAGATGATAACAGTTTACTCCACATGCCCACAAATAGACCAGCTCCTGAGTCCCCAGCTCCGTGACACAAACAGCATTGATCGAATCAATTCAAGATAACAGTTGAAAATGCAGTTAATAAAGCTATCATTCATAAAACGTTCTTGCTTTACACAAAAGCATAAAAATCTCCAAGTAAAAGCCAACAAACAGAGTAGGAAAAGTCTCAACAATGGGCAGCCTGACTAACTTGGCTATGCACGGACAGGATTGTAATGCAAAACAGTGAGTCATGCAAAAGATAACATTTCACAGTTTAGAAATACAGTGGAAACCATATATATATATATATATAACAGGGAACCAGTAATAACAGGGAACCAGTAATAACAGGGAACCAGTAATAACAGGGAACCAGTAATAACAGGGAACCAGTAATAACAGAGATTTTTAATCCTCGTTTTTTCCTACTCTTTGACTTTGTCTCTATCAAAAGTTACCGGCAATATCAGGGCCTCATTGGAGCCCAAAAGGTTATAGCAGGGACAAAGGCTCTTCAGCAAGGTGTAAAAAGTGAGAGGGAGAGGGAGAGGGAGAGGGAGAGGGAGAGAGAGAGAGAGAGAGAGAGAGAGAGAGAGAGAGAGAGAGAGAGAGAGAGAGAGAGAGAAAGGGGGGGAGAAAGAGAGGGGGTGGGTGAGAGAAGGGGAAGAAAAGAGAGAGAAAGAGAGGGAGAGAGAGAGAGAGAGAGAGAGAGAGAGAGAGAGAGAGAGAGAGAGAGAGAGAGAGAGAGAGAGAGAGAGAGAGAGAGAGAGAGAGAAAGCCCACGCAAGCCACACTACTGCTGCAAACACACACAGCTATGCTCTCGCGTAAAGTGTCATGCGCAGGCCTGCCACATGCATGCACATAGCCAAAACCCCTGTTCGTGGGTACTTGTGGCAAGGGAAACTATCCATGAATAAATACAGCTGGATTAGTCCACAAATGCTTACTTTCCTTGCATTTCTGATTTAACAGGGATCGGATATAACAGGACTTTTTCTCGGGCCCCACCATCCCTGTTATATCAGGTTTCCACTGTACGATTCATACTCAGATTCATGCATATATATGTGAGGCTCAGGCATGGTAAAATCAGGCGCTTGTCAAAATAATAAAATCAAAGAAAAAGGCATTTTTCCCACCAGTTTTGAATTTTTCTCTCGCGAAATTCGGTTTTCTAATTTTTTGGCTAAACACCTTTTATGTTTATATGAAAACACATTTCCATGTGAATTTTACTGAAAACCCTTGTTTAAAGTCACAAAATATGTAATTTTTAGTTTTCAAGGACTCTTAAGCTATTGAAGTTACCAAACTTTGGCGGCCATTTAAAAAAAAATTAATTCAACCATTGAAACCAGGCTACTCCATCTTCTTCAATGGCAAATATCTCCCCTTCTATTCAAGCCAGACGGGTATTTTTTCCACTGAATGCAAGGTAGTGCTGGGCGGCTAGGTTCCCGATTATTGAAAGCTAGGAATCGTAGGAATCGACTCCGAACCCAATTATTTACTTTCTAATGACGTGATTTCTTCCGGTGGTTACCTGGTTGGCTCCGAACATCTTCAGGATTTAGGATAACCTTGATTTCGGAACACTACGAAGCATCAACTTCTATTTTTCAAAAAATATATTCTTAAAAAAAAAAAAAGATTTTAATGATAAAAGTAACTGGTTACGTAAAAAGGAGACGGAACTTTACTTCCGTAGTATTAATTGTGGGAGTCGGTTCCGGAATCGACTCTTCGCCTGGCTCTAATGCAAGGCAAATGTATAAGCTTTTAGATGATACCAATAACTCCACATGACCAAAAACTGACGAGCGCCTGATTCCACGGCGTCGTCACACATGTAAACTGTATATATATAACATACACGTTCCTGTATATTAAAAAATATGTGTATACAAAGCAAAGAAATGTATGTTTCTTCAGTCAATCACAGTATAACACAAAATGAGATCGTATATATAATATAACATTTCCTCTTTCTCCTGCCAACAACAAGAACAAACACACAACCAGCCTGAGAATTTCGTGAAAATCAAGACAGATAGACAGAGACACGATGATTTAATTTTTTAAATGTACGGTAAGCGCTTTCACTTTTACACCCTCATTGACACAATTTAGATCATTTAGAAGGTCGGCTTTCGACCCTGCCTGTAAGGCCCAACCTGTCCTGAGAGTCTGAGAGGGATACAACCTCCCAGCAGAAACACTGAGAATAATCTCTAAATAAATTCTCCCTACTCGAGAATAGAACTTGGGACTCAAGCGTGTGATATCAAAATGCCTAACCTCTTCACCATTTGAACAAAGATCATGCCAGTAAACTAGATCTAAGCTCTGAAAGAAAAAAAATAATTAAATGGCATCATACTCGTGTCAGAGTTGTGATATTTGGAAATGCGTACACAAAATGTGTGTGAGGAGCAGGAAGTGCTGGGAACAATTCTGTTTTCCGCGTGAAGGAGGTTTTTAGTATTTTATATAAATTTATGAAGAAAAGTTCTTTTAATCTCTAGCCTCAGTTGTTGTGGAAAATTATGATTAAGTTCAGACAAATTGAGACTAACTGCTGTAGTACAAAGTACGGGTGACATTGATTCACCTGTTACTGTTAGAAAGATAGATGAGGATAAGTTGCACCTCAAATTTTTTACCGCACTAAAATGAAAACCATTGTTAGTGGTGTAGCAGTAAGGCACTTCCCTGTTGCATACAGATGCCCTGAGTTTGATTCCGAAGGGGAGGTCTTTTATCAAGAATATTATATGGGTCTTTCTGGTAGGATGTTGTATCGTTACCTCTCCAGTCCCTGGCGACAGTGACAGATGGGGTTGAAGTGAAGCTCACCTCCTTACTGGGGGCTCCAGTGGCTAAGTGAGTAGTGAGTTTTGACTCAAGCAATGTCAAGCAAGTGTCGGTGACACGGGGATCAGATGGGTGGTCACTGGAGTGTGTCCTTGAGCAAGACACGACAACCCTAGCTCAAATTACAGGGCGCTGCACAGTGGCGACTGACAGTGGCATTGTTTGTAAACTGTTCTGTATTTGTGTACTTATGTATGTATTTATGCATGTATGTATTTATGTATGTACATATTTATAATTATGTATTTATGTGTGTATGTTTGCCATTGTAAAACAAAGTGCCCTTCTGGGACAAATAAAGGCGTCATTTATTTATTTATTTATTATTTATTTATTTACTAAATAAAAGATCTAAATTGTGCCGATGGCAGAGTAAAAATAAAAAAACACCTACCGGTACATTTAAAATGAGAGGAAAAAACAAGCAAATATTACTGCTGAAAAGAAGATTTCTGGCTTTGCGCTAACAAGAACCTGAGTAGATTTGTGGAGGGAAAGGGGACCTCGTGACCTCGAGCTTTCTCTTCTGGCTGAGCCTGCCTGGGAATTGTTGATGAGTTCGATGATGTTGAACAATTGGATGGTGGGATTGTCAATGAGTTAGACGGCGGGATTGTTAATGAGTTAGAGGGCGGGATTGTTAATGAGTTCAACAAGGATGTTGAAGAACTAGATGGCGGGATTGATGGAGAGTTTAACAAGGATGTTGAAGAACTAGATGGCGGGATTGTTAATGAGTTAGACGGCGGGATTGTTAATGAGTTCATCAAGGATGTTGAAGAATTGGATGGTGGGATTGATGGTGAGTTTAACAAGGACGTTGAAAAACCGGATGGTGGGATTGTTAATGAGTGCATCAACGATGTGGAAGAACTAGATGGTGGGATTGTTAATGAGTGCATCAACGATGTGGAAGAACTAGATGGTGGGATTGTTAATGAGTGCATCAACGATGTGGAAGAACTAGATGGTGGGATTGTTAATGAGTGCATCAACGATGTGGAAGAACTAGATGGTGGGATTGTTCTATTCAACTGAGAACCCGATGGCATAGCCTTGACCTCTGGCTGACTGTCAGATGTCAGCATAGACCGCAGGCTCCGGTCACCCCACCCTCTGCACTGATGGGAACTCCACTCTCGAAACTTTACAAGATGCTTGCACTTGAGACAAAGCATGTACGACTGACTAGAAGGACCTAGGTTGCCAGCAGCGAGAACCCCGAAATCTTGACCGGAATGATGAACCTGAGCATGGTCAATCATAGGCTGTTGGCTGGACGTGGTATGGACACACTGCAGGCAGAAATACAACATGGAGAAGGAGCCGTTCGGCCGGCAGAACTTGCTCAGCGCACTTAAAACAGGTGTGTGGTCAGCACCGGTGTTGTCCGTCACACTCCCGGCCAGCTGGTCCTGGTAGCAGGTAATGATGTGCTGGTATATCTCCTGGCCTTCCGACGAGAAGAACTGGCAGTCTCTCACCCCGCCACCACCACGGCAGAAGTAGATGAGCACGATTCTGTCTTCCACTGCCAGGTTGGCCGTGGCGGGAGCCTGGCTGTGGTTGTGCAGCAGGTGCTGGCGCATGTCGCCGACCTTCAGGGTCGTAAACGGACACACAGAGCACGCCAGTAGCCATTCTCCCCGAGTCGCGCTCGCCACTGCCACTGCCGGCGCTTGCACGGACGATTCTAGTTGTTCGGTAACTGCAGAACTATCATCTCCTAGTCCTGGCGCCTTTTCTGGCCCTCTTTTAGAAATCTTTCGTCTTTTGTTCGTTTTGTGAACACTAAAGTCTGAATCCCCCGAGTCTTCCTCGTGTTCCCCGTCTTTGTCTGAGCAATACACGAAATCTGAGTCGTCGCTCTGCCCCTCGGGGGTGTTTTCGACCTCGTCAGCGGGATCAAGATCAGTCCTGTCAGTTTCATTCACTGAATAGCTCGATGATTCCGTTCTTCTCACTCTCCGGGACCGACGAAGCCGTGGGACGAGCAACGAAGCTGGTGCAGCACCCTCTCCCTCCGCACCGACAGCCAAGGCCGACGAGAAAAACTCTCCAGAGGCGGCAAAGAGAGAGGAAGAGGAGTCCTTGGGTATGGAGGTTCCGACTGAGACGAGAAGTCTCTTCAGTATCTCCGAGGCCGTGAAATGGGACGTAGAAGGTCGCTGACCTTCACCGGCAGTTAATGGAGCTGCAGTCTGGGCAGTCGGAACTCTCACTTCATTGTCACCTCCACAGTATACACTGGCGTCTTCTGACCGCGACACTCGACTGTCATCAAAAAGAGGAGAACCTCTAGGCTGCTGCTTTACCTGCACATTTTCACCAACATGACATGGCGCAGCATCATCTGTATTTTCCTCGATTTCTTCTTTAATGGACACACTTCCTCCTCCTTCACTTTCAATATGGTCATTGTCATTTTTTCCAACTCCATTGCTGTAGTGAGAGCTGCCTTGAGTGAGAAGCTCCTTGCAAGTCGAAGAATTTTTGTGTGTGGGAGTACATCCCAAAGAGAGAAGAGACTCTCTAGACGACAGAGAGGAGTTGCCCTGCGACAGAATCTCCCTGAGAGAGAGGTCAGACGGCCTCAATGATGGGACCTGCGCAGGCACTTCTAAAACACCTCCCCCTCCTGGGCTCTCGATATGGCCACTGTCATGAGATGAAACTACAGAAGTAAGGGCCCTACGTTTACTTTCCGTACGAATCACAACATCATTTTGACGTTTCAAAAGAGAACGAAGTAAATCATATTTCTTTGCCTTAGAATGTATATCCCTGCTCGTTTCTTGACTATTCAGGAAATCTTCAGGCACTGGAGTAGGGGAATTGGGGCCATGAAAACTATCAACACACAGTCTATCCGAGTTCTGCAGTCCATTCGCCAGCAGGCTGCTGCTGCAGGGAGTCCCGACCTCAACAGCCTCAGATGTGACGACCTCCGACACGACCTCTTCCATCTGTTTCTGAAGTCGCTCCGCACACAACACAGGAAGCTCTGGACCAGGGTCACGGCCAGACAGCCCAGGCATTTCCGACTCTGCATTGTCGTATTCGAAATGTCCAGGTGACAGCTCTGGGACATCTTCTTCTGGCTCTTCTTTAATTCTAACAACTTCGTTGTTGTTGTTCCAGACAACAGATTGAGATTCTGAAATCACATCGACTTCTTTGTCCCTAGAACATGATGCAGACTCCTGCTTTACACCCATCACTAGCTTGTCATTACATGACAAAATCGGAACATGATCTTCTTTCACAGCCCCAGTTTGACACAAATCAGTACCAATATCGTTCCCCAAAGCAATAAAGGGCTCATTAACTGGGGAAGATTTACTAGTTTCTGCAGATATATCTTTTTCAGATTTCACCCCTTGAACTTCACAACAATACAAGTCATGAGCGAAACATTTAGACTCTTCTAAAACAGAATATCCGTTGTGATCTATTCCTAAAAGAGAATTTTCCCACAGTCGGCCGGCATTGTCTTTCTCACTGGCCTCCGTGGGAGTCCTCTCCGGGACACCGTCTCCATCTGTTTCCTCCAGGAAGTTTGGAGGCCTGGGACACATTATTTGATCTTTATGGAAAGTATTTCCATCACACGGAGTTTGGAAGTTTCCAGTAGTTCTACCCCCTGTTTCATCTCCAGTGAAACTGCCGGGAATTTCAACTTGTTTAAAATTTGGGTCGCTTGTGCCTACACAACCAGTTTTGGAAAAAGCAAGATGAGAAGACGTTCCAATATTCGTGAAACTCCCTGACATATCCCAGCTGTTACCTTCACAAACTGCCTCCTCAAACGCGGGGATAGGAACCGTGCTCGGCTGTACACCCAGTAAAACGTTTTCCAGAGTAGAACGTTCCTTTCTTTGTCCTCCTTTATTGACAGAGGATGTCGTTTTGTCGCCCTCCCATTGTCTTAAACCACGCTTTTCTTTGAGCTGCATAAGCCTAGACGTCGATACTTGTTTCCACTCTTTCGACAATTTGTGCCTTTGAAGCATGTGCTCAATGTAGCTGGATTTACTGAACGCCACGTGGTCGCACATGCTGCAGAAGAAAGCATGATGACCCAGTAGATGCTTTAGTAAAACCATCTCCGCCTCACTTCCTGTGCGGAACTCACAAAAGTTGCAGTGAAGAAGAGGCTTATTCGACGGCACAGGACTGCAGTGACTTGTATTCTGTGAAAACAGAACGTGAGCATCTGACAACACGGCACACACACCACGGTTGTTCTCACAGTTTTTGTAACTTTCCTCCGATAACGTTCCATCCAGCAACATCGGCAGGTTAGGACTTACGGCAGAAAACATATCCAGGGTCAGTGTGCCAAAACCTGTACCAGAAGATACTGTGGGGGGACCGACAGTCAGCTCAGCCATCTCTCTCTCTGCTAATTGATTGTATCTGTTGGGCCAGGTGCGGGGAAATTTGATGTTTCCATAAAATATAAAAATAGATCATTTCTTCATGGCAACCTGAAAAAGAACAAGAGAAAAAAAATGACAAAGTGTAAATCTTAAATCAAAGTAAAAACTTCAATGCTTTTCAAACTACTTACAAGTATGAGCAAAGAGCACACTGGCAAGATCTCTCATTTAATTAATGTTAAAATGATAGAAAAAGAAAGACCTATAGACAGAAACAACAGAAGGAGAGGAAAAAGGAAGAATCTAAGAGCACAAACAACTAAAGAGTAAAAACTTTTCAGTGCCAACTGTGAAAGAGATAATTAAACCTCTATAGATATTAAATATTCCTTTGGGAAAAGAGTTAGAAGAAGTACAATGGAACTCTGTTTCAACAAACTCGGATTCAACAAAAACTCGGATCCAACGAAAGGAGTTGGGTTCCCCGATTTTTTTATCCATAAAAATCAATAAAAATTCTGATTCAAGGAACACATTTCATTTAAGCGAGCAAGCTCGGATTCAACAAAGTCGTTTGCAGGGTGAACAACTCTATCCAACCAATCAGCAGTCTGTTTTCATACCAAAAAAAGACGTAATCATGCACCTTATCATCTGTTTGTCGGAGTCGGATGGCCGACCAGAAGACGTGTGACTGTGTCTGGGGGGATGGGAGGAGGGGGTACAAAAACGATCCCAGTAGGACCTGAACATTTCATAATCGAAGTGACTATTCGGACTCGAGTCCGAATATGAAAAAATGTTATTCAGACTCTGATTCTTGTCCAGCATGACAACACTTCCGACTTCCTGTGACCCGTGACTCCGGCTTCCTGTCCTGCCTCACTCGTGACTCGCCTCAGGATCACTTCGGGCAAAATGGCGTTAAATTGTGCAGGAGCCGAGTTTTTATTTTATGATGAATTTGAGGCCGGCCTGAAAAGTTATAGCGCTTCTAATAAATGTTGTCAAGAGGTCATCAGAAGCAATTAAAGATGGCTCGTTAGCGTGTGTCGGGGTCGGATGGGCGGCCTGCACACGTGTGGCTGTGTGTGCGTGTCGGGGAGGGGGGGGGCCACTATCGGTCCGGGTGTTGAACGTCGCATACGCGTCAGTCTCCCCCCCCCCCCCACCCCCGGCAACTGATCATTATTAATATTACAATATAAGTAGGCTAGTCTTGACGTAGATCTACGTATGAATTGTGCGCTGGTCTATGGAATCAAAAGTTGCAGTATGCTCAGCTCTGCTCACAGCAACACAACTTTTTCTTGGTAAACAATCGAGATGACACAGGCTTGTGTGTTTGAACGAATCAGTCTTTTTTTTTTACACAGCTCACATAATGTGCAGGTGCCAGGTGGTCTGCTAATCAGCTAATCTTCAATTTTACCTTTTTCTACAACAAAGAAAGTGGGAAACATGGGGGGGGGGGCGTATCAATGAGGCGGTGGGCATAATTGGATCGGCAGAAAAGGTGTGGGGGAAACTAAAAAATGGCGGAAAATTGGAAGCACTGACCGATAGATCTATAGAACGAATACACTTCCTTTTTTTCCGGACCCGAGTCCGAATAACATTTTTCCATATATTCGGACTCGAGTCTGAATAAGATTTATTTTTATTCGGACTCGAGTCCGAATAATGACGGCCTTTCATAATAATCAGGTTGGCCGTCATTATTCGGACTCGAGTCCGAATAACATTTTTTAATATTCGGACTTGAGTCGGACTGGTTCTAAATTTATAGTCTAGATCTAGATCTAGATCTGGTCACAGTGACAAAACAGGGCAGGGGAAGAAAGACAAAAGAAAACAACAACAATCAACAAGGAAGAAGAAAACTGATGGCATCATCAAGAGGTTCTGGAACAGATGAAGAGAGGTCACAAGAACACACAATTTTAAAAGAAGTAGATTAGGAGAATGCATAAAAACCAGTTTCTGGATCTTACTTTTAAATCATAGATCTAGATCTAGATCTAGATATCTAATTCATAATTATTTAATAAAACCACAACATAATTGACAAAATGCAAACATGTTGCAAGACAAGAATCGGCCTAGAAGAATTCTGAGGCAGCACAATTTGTTTTGTACTTACACTCCACAGTACAGGAGGTCAACCAACCAGTCCACTAGACTCTTGGTTGTCTTCCACTGACACTGAATCAGTCTGACAATTACTTCGATTACTCCACATGACAGTCTACAACAATCACAATGCTTAACACTTTCCACAATCAAAGTCTAAACATTTTCCAGTCACAATACTTACTAGATCTAGAGAGATTTCGATCTAAATGTTTTCCCTAGACTCTGTGTTTACAGGCCTACACAACAGGCTTGGGACTGTCGACCCTTGTCTGTTGTTTCAGTTTGGAGTCCGGGGTGTCTACATACACGGTAACGGGCACGTAGTCTCAGAGTCTACGTACACGGTGACCGGAAGGTCAACCACTACCATCGTTCTTCACAGAACTATCGTGTTGTTCAAATATACAATGTAATCTTACACCTTTTTGGGACTTTGTGCCCC